GGGGTGGAGGGTGGGGAGATGGGGGATGGCGATGGGAATGGGGAGGTGGGTGAGAAGTGTGAGTTCTTTTCTTGTTGTGGTCATACTTGAATTTTGTTTTTGTACACTGGGATTTAGCGAACAAATTGGTTAACAAAAAATCACAGTACAAGCCATCATCCAAGAAGTTAACGAACATACTGCCCACTCCCCACGTCAAGACCAAGACCCCCTTCGCATGGCAGCCTTCAAAATCTCAGAAGCCAATCTTAGAAAACAGTAAGTGATCTCCTCTCATCTCACTACGCCTTCCCTTTTATCTCACTCCCCTCCCCATTTTCTCACCAACCCCGCACTCAGATTCTACAACCTCCCCAACCCAACCCTCTACCTCGACGCTCTCTGTGTAGATTTCCGCTACCAACGCCACGGAATCGGAAAACAGCTCCTTGAAACAGGTTTGGATCTTGCGAAAGCGAAAGGATGGGATGTCTGGACGGAAGCTAGTCCTATGGGGTTGGGACTCTATTTGAAGATGGGGTTTAGACAGGTGGGTGAGTTTGTTGTTGGGGAGCCGGAGGTGGGTGAGGGTGTTAGGATGCCGGTTCTGAAGTGTGAGGTTGGGAGCTTGGGAGGAGCTGAGGGGGAAGTCAGGAAGTGAGAAGGGAGTTCTGGATGAAGAGAAGGAGCTCGGTTAAGGAGGGGCTTTTGGGGTGAAGGTTTTATGTTGTTGGAATCTGAAATGAGGCTAAAATATCAGCTAAGACATCGCTTTTCGTGCATTCCCTGCTTCGCCAGTGGCAATGATTATACACCAACTCGAAGTTTTCCAGTTTAGCTTCACTTGAAGCGGGGAAAAAAGGCACTTGACAGCTACTGATGCAAGTTTCTTCGAATCCTCGCTACTAACTAGTCCAATTAATTGATGTGATCATGCCGGCTAACTACTCTTTACATGGTGAGGAGATGTTGCTACAGTACGATACTAGACAATGTAACCAGGAAGTAATATTAGAAGGCTACCATGGTTTATACTAAGAGAAGAAATTATTCGATCAGAGGCTTACCATAGAGTACGTAAACACGAAGTCATATTACATTAAAAGAATCTAGATTATTCTGTAATGGATCATTCCGGCCCAGAGGAAAAGGTCCCTACAAAAAGTGGAAGTTGCAAGTATGGAGATAGATTCAGTCATGTGATGAATTCCAGCTGGAAATTCCATATATTCGATGGAATATATACCTCTGGAATGGAATCCTTCCGTAAATATACTAAATATAATGGAATACTTCCAGAGGGGGTATCTGGATTGGAAAGGAATTCCAGTTGCCGAACGCTGTTCCAACAAGACCGCGGTTCGGACGACTTCCAAATCAGGGAGTTTTGTATCCTTTGCTGTTCACTGAGGAGCTGGTATTGCTATACTCTTAACTTGTCTTAAGAAGTTTGTTTTATGACATAACTAACATACTATCTTTTTAAATCTGCTTGCTCTTCTCTGTTTCAAATTCCGCTAAAATTAATGACGTTTACTGCTAATAGCTCGCTTAGCACTGAGAAGGCTCTTATTACAAAGTGCAACAACCCCTTCTTCTTTTTCTTCTTCTTCTTCAATAGACAAGGTTTGTTGAAAAGCAGAAGAAAAAGCTATTGCTTGGGATTATTACTAGGAACTCGTTCTATGGATAGGAAAATGGAATGTGAAAATAGGTATATTTAAATTAAAGCGGGCGATTAGGAAATACATAGGTTAGTATTAAAGCACCAATGGATTTTCAGGGGTTGACAGTAGGCTTTAGAGAAGGGAAATGGATGGTAACTATAAAACAACAATTTCAGATCATCTCGTTCGTATTTTCCTATACTTCGACACTCTCCACAGGTAATTCGCTTGCCGCTCCCTCATAATCTCCCACCCCCCCTATCCGAACCCCTACACAATGAACAACGCTGGGCTACAGTACAGCTTGAATAATTGTTCTGTCATGACCGATATAGCGACGTCCAGAAAAGCTACTTATCGGAACTATCATGGATACTAGTGGTCCCCGTGTAGCATCAGATTCCTCAAATTGAACTCCCCGAGGACTATTGAGTAGCCGGGTTCTTTCAATCTGGGGAAGCGGGTTTCTAATCTGATCGCAAAGTCTCAAGTCTATAAATCCCGTAAGGAATACCATTTTCTCAAAACGGTATTTTTTAATGCTAGGATCTATTGCAATGTGGCGAATCCCCGAGAGAAGCGATCGGAAAAAGGGCCCCATCTTCGAGAAAAGTGCTTGGGGGTAAAAAGGCCCGTTTCCAACAGTTCCAGTTGGCGTAAAAACGAGCTCATCAACGTATAGCAGAAATCTGTCTTCGGAGTTATATCGATAGACCTTGGGATATCCGATGGCTGCCTGGTCTAAGACCAAATTCTTCTCCTTTTCCCAGATTTGTCGTGATTCTTTGCATGCGGTTGCCATTCCATCATCACGGGTAGTTTTTTCCAGGGCGGCAACTCGATGTTCTCCACCATCCTCGTCGGACATGATAGTGTTGACCAGTCTAAAACAAATAACTCTTGGAGCTGGCAAGGCCTCCTTCCAAACTTGCTCTCGCATCTCGAGTGGGAGGAAACGGAATCTTGGAAATGTTGTTGCAGCCTAATTTGAGGTCAGACACATCAAAATCAATGCTCAGATAATCGGGCAGTTCTTTTATAGGTACTTACCATTTTCTGGGATTTGGAAGTATGAATAGGGCTGGGATTTGGTATTGGTACGAGTACTCCGTTCGCAAAGATGTCTTGTATCTGCTAATGAAGTAGTTAGCAGCAATTCAGAAGAACTTTTCACTTGGTGCTGACCGTACTGTGGCAATGAAGCAGAGGGAATTGAGCAACAGTGCAATTAGAAGTGTTTGTCAACTTTCTGATGTGGAGACCTTTGTCTGGTTCAAACAAATACTAGCTTTGTGAAATTTTTTTCAAGTGTGGGCATGATGTCGACTAAGCAAGCAATGTCAACTAAGCAAGCAATGATGTTGACCTCCTGGTAGAAATCGGCATGGCAACCACCACCACAACCCCTGTCCCAATATCTTTTGAAATTCCTCTATTTTCATAGATAGAATCAACAAATGAATTAACAGATGACAATTTTATTATGTCTATTTCCAAACTGATAAACCTTACAGCAGTAATCGTTGTCTTACAAAGGAGCGTGGGGGTGCCAACAGAGAAAAGCACCAGACATCACTTATCCTCTCGCAACTTCCCCTAAATCTCAGCTACCAAAAATTGGTTTCTCGCATAGCCTACCAGAGAAAAGCCAACGTGCCTTTCAATAACAATTAAGATTGTAACAACAACACTCCCTACCCTAGAACTGCTAGTATTGATGCGTTATCTACCAGCTTGGCCAAGACTAACACAAGACTAAAATCCCCTCAAATAACGACTCTCAATTCTCTCTTTCTTGACAGGCGATAAGCCCTATGGACTATATTGGTTCCAAACATTCTAGCTTGGGTATATATCTCCAAATAAATCTGTTTCACTCGCAATTAAGGCTAAGCGAGAATCAAAAGCCGAGCAAATGTACTCCCGCTCCGTCGGCCAATGGAAAGTCTCCAGGGCCCAATTTATATTATATGTAGGCATTCAATATATGTCAGTCTTTCTACAATTTTGATCACAGTCCTTTGGACTTGAGCAATAAAGAAAGTGGTAGAAACTGCCATGCCTTTTTTGGTGCTCTGGTGTATAGAGTTAATGGTAAAACTGAGCAGCTTTATTAAGATCGCCTGACAATATGCAAGTTGTGATATACATGTCGTTTGCATTCAACTCCCTTCAACAACAATACCACACCACGGAGAGAGAGGCACTACACCGTACTCCTGGGTTTAGAGGAAACAAGATGGTTGACTATGGGCTTAAAATTTCCTACTTGAATTATATACTGACCATGCTGTAGAGCCAATCATTGGAGATGCCTTGTTTTCTTTTAACAGAGTGACTTGGTTTCATCGACAGTAAGTCTGGAATCGACAGCAGCTGACACAAAAGGTTTGTTGTCAGATGGTCCTGCCTTGATTTCATTCGATGGTTGGCATAGCAAGTGACTTTGATTTTGTGGCGGGTGTTGACATGAGTTTTTTGTTGGTTCTTAAGGTTATGCTTTGTCTAAACTCCACTTATCACAGTAATGAAACCCGACTTGACTGTATGCTATACTCTCAACTCCGTAAAATCTGTATTGCGTTTATAGTCGAAAGAGGTGGGTTCAGTATAGGTTGTTTCATTCTTATCAAATGGAGTTGAATACTGCGAATGTATTATTGGCCATGAATCTTTTTGGAATTAACGATGTAAGACTTCTGTCCTAGGGCTCCCTACAAATAGATAACAAGACTTCATTAAACTTGACAATAGATATAAGGAACACAATTTATATGGGATGTTTCATAGTTCTACTTGCGGTTGTATCAGAATCAAAGAGACCCTCGGTGATAAAAACAATTTAAAGTAGCTATTCATGTATCAGAGGCAAGAAATCGATAAGCTACTATAAAAACAACGGTATTATGTCTGTTAGCGAAGACATAGAGTGTGTGCCGACCAGTGGTAAGGAGAATCCATTTATCTTCAATTTCTACTCGAGGAATAACCCGGTGGTATTAATTAGTACATTATAGTATAGCCGGCTAAAATAACAGTTGAAATAGCTCTTTAGTATTCTTTTCCTCTTCTCAAGTAACCCATGCTCCTGTAATTGAGCCACAAGAAATGTCTTTAATAGTTATATAAGTATTTTTGTGGACCTGACATGCTTAGATCTAACGCCCGTGTGAGTATTTGCGAAGGACTGGGCAATTATAATAATATTGATTTCCATTAATGTGTATATATAGTTAAGCCTACAATGGCTCTCCGTGCTCAAGGAAACAAGACAATCGCGATGGATAATCTACGAAGAAACATACAGATCAGTAAGTTACTCTGTTAATCATATACCTATATACGTCCGACCGTGTTTTCAAAGCCCCTTGCAAAGCAGCTCACCACGGAAGGTATTTGGAGGTTGCCACGATATCATCAGTATTTGGTTGTTGGAATTCCTCTCGGCAATCAAACACTTATATATCATTAACTTCTACATGTTTCCCGATGATCAGTACAACCACAAACTGGCACGTCTGCCAATTATATGGATAGACACACTTGCAGCATGCCTCGACGTATGATCTACCGTTGAAAACAGGGAGGTTGACGATTATATCTTTGGTAGAAATGGGAACGCGGGATCGTGGCTGCTTTCCTGCCCATAGACTGCTATCATCTGAACGAAGACGTTTCCACGACACTAACTACATTCTCGACAGTAAACGAATCACTTCAACTTTTATTTCTGTAACTTCTGGATTTCTCTCTCTCTCTCTCTCTCGAGCGTTTATATATCGGGTCATGAAATTGTCTAGATGGGAATTTCTTGCGAAAAAATTCTGTACTAATGTGATAATTCTACATTACCATAAGAGAATCCAACGTCTTTGTTGTATTAGTAGTCTGCTCGTGACATTCGTCGAAGATTATTCTATTTAATACAATGTTCTGCCACGTGGCCGTGCCGCGTACGTGAATTGAAAAGTTATCGATCTAACGATAATGTTTGTCTACGTACTCACTGATCGGAGTGAATATATAGTGTAGTCGTTGGTACATTTTGTCGATTCTTCGAATTCTCCTATTGGTGTTTACCGTTGCATGAATTGCATCGCTATTACAAAATTCTGCTGCCGAGAAAAACACGAAGGACTTTGTTTTACCCCTGGAAACAATTTATTAGCACGGAGTTCTGTGATTTAGTGCCTCTTCATAGGTTCTGAGTAAAGATTTCTTAGGTTGGAGACGGTCATGTTGTTGTGATGTTGGATAAATAGTGCCCTCGAAACTGTGTGAACCCGACTCTCTCCACTTCAAGAATATTTAGTATTTGTGTTTCAAATATGGAACAAGCACCTGAAAACAATTTAGAAAGTCCCTATTATTGTAGCTATCTAAAGAACACTCCTCGCACAAACGCAAGAGATCCCCAGGATGTCAATATACTCACAAATCACCCATGTACCTATTCTCAAAACTAGGTAAACCACCAAATTGACAGCCCATTCGACTCTAGGAATAAAAAGGTCATCTCCGCCTACGGCATAAAGAATTCATCCATGAGAATCCAGTAACTTTTAGCCTCCAAAGATATAGAGGATTATGATGAGTTCGCTACTTCCACAATCGAGCTGGGTAGTATTTCATGCCCAGCATTGCATTATAGCCGGAGTCGAGTACGCCATCGATCTCCAATTTCCCCAGACAAGTAACCAATCAAACCATCTGAAAATATACACTCACATATACCCAACCACATGACTCCCGGCATTAATTCCACCTAATTACAATCAGACTTTTCACATCTTCGCTAAGCATTATGAAACCCCAATATTCTTACCTAAGAACTACTCCCTTCCATACTTAAAAACTAGAAGATCTATATATAAGAATACACTTTCTCACCCATAATTATAATTATAGACAAAAAAAAAGTGTATCTTGAAATAGTTACGGTATGCGGAGAATTCTTAAATATGAATTTAGCATTTTTAAATCTCCGTATGTCTTGGACCACCCTACAAGCTACCGGTAGTGAAAATTTAGGTACCTGGTGTGGAGTACGGAGGAATGGTAAATAGGAATGACGTGTGTGTTCTTAATCGGCTTAAGGAATTCCTTGAATTGGCGAAGAGAGATATACATAGAGATACCCGGATGGTTAAGCTCGCTACCCGTTGTTGATTTCGACTTTATAGCACCTCTATTGATTTCCATATTCCAATTACTCAATTCCCCCAAATCCCTCCCGCAAGTCGCATCCAAAAACCAGACATTCCCTTAACAAACAAAAGATATCGATACGAATGTTAAATAGCAAAGCGTAGATACTACAATCGTACTTAGGAAGATGGAGGTTTATAATTCCGGGTTCCCGACATTCCGACTCCACTTCAAAGCAACGTTCGGCATCTGGAATTCCTTTCTATTCTAGACCCCTCCTCTGGAATAATTCTATCCCTTTTAGGTTTTAGGATATGGCTGGAATTACTGTATTCCATTCCATTTTATAGGTGCTCCAGAAGTATTCCATTCCATGGAATATAGTTCTATTTGCCGAACGTTGCTTTAAAGATGAATTTATCTATCTTCATCATCATCGAATCGAGAAGAAACGACATACCAACCCCCTCCTCCTCCTCCCCGGGAAATACACTTCCCACACCCTCTCTTTATAAAAATGAAAAGCTACGGTATTACGTCACACACTTCTTTCTGTTGCAGATCGCAGTATTCAACATGTCACAATGCGCGTATCGTTTTACATTTCCCATACCTATGTATATATACATAAAGATCGGATGAGGGTAAAACCAGGACCACATGGATCTTACGGAGTCCTGAATTACTATACCCTAACGCTTTGTCGATCGTTGAAGATTTTATGTGGTTGTGGCGGGATGGTGATTTGAAAGGTTCAGCTCGTATATATTTCCAACCCAACATATCCGTATGATTAAAGGCCCGTCGACATAATCCTCCACAGGGGAATATGTAGAAGATTGAGGTTCTTGTATACTAAATAACATTCACGTCCCATATAATTGGAAACAATCCCGAGGTCGAGAGCTCAAGCTGGAGACACTTGGTAGTGCTAGCACATGACCAGGTCCAAGATCAAGAAAGTTCGAGGTCGAAGAAAACGAAACATTCGCATCTCAGAGACTACAAGAAATCAGACGAAGTATACCTCGTCTGATCTTCATGTACCTCGAAGCGCTACTGTATTGTCCAGCACAGTATCTGACAGCGGAAAGAAGCGAGGTCATCTCTCCTCTCCTCACCTCACCTCACCTCACCTCACCTGTACGGTACGAGTAAAACCATTTACAATATCACGTCATCCCATCCCCAAAGAATGCGACCAGAAAAATAAGGATAACACAATTGCAACCTACAAGAACTCTACTAAATTTAGCGTCATAAGTTGTTTACATGAAATCCTCTAAGACCGCTTGACAGTGTGTATCAAAGCATGTAATGACGTCTTTCCATAGAGCTTCGTGGAACCCGTATTCTTCAGGCGTTGTCTCGCTAGCAAAGAACCTTCCATAAGGAACACAAGGCGTTTGCAAAATCACGAGGTGAAGAAATAGTTTTCTTTCTCGTCAAAATAGCGTATGTTGATGCGGTGCAATCTAGGAAGATGAGACGAGATCAAAGTATCAATAACGGCAATGGACACGGACCTCCACCGGTCACACAACAGACAGTACGGTATTGTAGAGTACAATTCACATTACCTCATAACCATCCCTCAACCTGGAAAAGGATATTCGAAGCACCAGCTTCCCCAGCTTATTTCCCCCGCAATCGAGACCTCGATTCCAACGACGTCGGCGTTTGAAAAATTTCCTCTGACCGCCTGCCTGTCGTCAAGACACGTGAGGGATGACCTGCCATGCTTGTAAATCCAGTAAAGTAAACTAGGTAACTGGGTGTAGGTGGTTGGTTGGTTGGCTTGGAAGCATATCCTAGTCCCCTTCCGTACAAGTTTCTCCCAGGGAAGCACTCCGTTCAGGACCTTGGTACTGTATGCAAGTTTACAGTAGGAGAAGAATTCCTTTTCCTTCTAGAAGGATTGATGGGTATGCATAGAAGCTCGCGTCTGCGGGAGCCTCGGAAGGTCGGAAGGGGAGTTCCTGCAAGTTGTACAGTGCGAAGGAGGGGGGATTCTTGTCTTTTGCTGCTCATGTTCTTACCTTGCCCACGAGAGGGAACTGCGAACGGGGTTCACCCATTTTTTCTTTTCGTTTTTGGAAGGAATTGAAGCTGTTCAGATGCTCTAGTTTCTTGGTTTACAAATTGCGAGTGTTATACAAACTGTAAATTTGATTCAGGGGGTGGATGCGCTGCCGATGCGAGGGGAGGCACTGTAGAAAAAGATCATTTTCCCCCCGGCCGGAAGTTTCCATATTATTTCAACAGAGGATGAGGTCAGTTTTGCGGCACGAGGCGAGGCTGAAATGGAATTGCGTTCTCACTAGTAGTGTCGTAATTGATGGGACTGGGTGACGGCATTTGAAAAAAAAGGTTAGTCGGAGTTAGTGCTGGCTCCTTGAACAATCTAAAAAATCTAAATCTCCGTCTAGGCTCGTCGGGGGTGGCTCGATGCATTTAGTTTGTTTTTAAAACGGATCTCGGTAGATGGTGGAAGATGTTGGTCGTTGGATGCAATTGCAGCGTTTACAAACATCATCGCAAAGGATCTCTATCATTTCTCGGTAAGGAGTCTCGTTTCGGAATGTCATGAAAACCAGGAAACTCGTTGGCCTGTGAGGGGAAGTCGTTGAGATCTGGGGTAATACGTAATTTTTTCTAGGTGTTGTTGCATCACGTGAACAATACTTGAAGTGCGGAGCCTGGGTGATAAGGCCTATCTATATGGAGCTTGAGCCGGTCTGCAAGAAGTCTTGGGTTGAAGTATACAGTATTACAGCGCATCGAGTGGTAAATTCTTACCTGGGCAAGTCCAAGTCCCGTGTCCGTGGGTTTGTATATGGAGACCCATTCCCGTCGCCGAACAAGCGACGTTTCCCGTTTCTCGGAGGGGTGAAGCTTGAGTCAAGGCTCCAAGCTCAAGCGCGTTAGGCAGGCCCCCTCTTCACGACCCTGACAATAATATATCAGATTTCGGCGGGGTTTGTCGGTGGGGCTGATTGGGCAATTCGTTTCCTCCGTTGACCAATCAGAAAATGGGACTCTTGAGAGTCAATCAATTATTCATGTTTTGCGGTGCTGTGTGTTACGATTCCCTATGTGACTACAGTACGAGGACTACGAGCACGGTGGCGATGCTACATCGGGCCGTTTAAAATATCTGACAATTACGAGTAGACGGGAGGTAGTAAAGTAAAAGAGTCGAGCTCGTTATTTTGGGATATTAGGGAGTACACCTAAACAGCAAATTTCTCTCGTAGTGGATTTTTCGCTTGTTACGAGTACACAGTATTATAAATATCATTCGCTTGTTATTATAAATAAATCCGGGATGAATGAAAAATTCTCAGCATTAAACTTCTGGTGTTGTTTAGGATGCGATCGGGAAATAAAGGTAAAGTCATGGAATGGAGCTTTAGGTATGGCCACGGCCACGGCCATGGCTGTAGCACAGTGGCACAAGAGGTTTGATTTCTCTTGACCTCTGTTTGATCTCTTCGGGCGAACTTCTGGCGGCTTACCGGGTCTTACTTGATCCAAAGGTTCGATGAGATTGAGGCACTTATTTGCTAGCTCTTGCTAGCTCTGGTTCGAAGTAGCTTTTGCCGTTGCCTACGTACTGGACGGAGCTGGTGTTGTCATTGGTCAATCCTGCAGCGATAAGGCGCTTGGCATCACTGGGCGCCCAGAGATACAGGCGAGCGACAGGCAGGGATGCGGCGGGGAGTTGGGCAGGGGCTCGGTAATGGAGACGAAGGAAATCGTTGGCTCAGTGCTCACTCTGCGCTCTGCGCTCCCAACTGCAGCTGGGTTGGATGCGGCTGTTTGCTGTTTCTGGTGCTTGGTATTGATTCTGACTACGCGATAGGAAGGCGTCTGGCGAGCAGCCGTGGAGGGTGTTGATGTCCTCCGTGCCGGTAAACCTATTCTACAAATTCCCTGGGGAGAAGGACAGGCTCCCTTGAGGTCTCGAGGAAGTGAGACCTCGAGGCACGAGGCGAGGCACCGTTGAGGGCGCATCGGATTTTAGTGGCACCAGGTGGTGCTACGGAGCTTTGGATAGTGGACTGGCACTACTGGCACATGGGACGAGCATGGATAAGCCTGATCCACTGCACTCCATACACAAGGCACAGGGTAACAGGGTACGGGGAGCGTCGCAGCTGCTGGACCCGCCTGCATGTAAAAGTACAAACATGGTCCTGCGGTAGGTAATCCTTTCACCATTGCATTCACTCTGTTTTGCACTTGGCACTTGTTATATATTCCTTCGTGCCCGGCCTAAATCCAGATAGTGGCCACCCTATCTCGTCCCTCTCTTACACCACCCCTCTGGACTCTCCAGATCCTACTTTCGCAACAAAAGTAGCAGAACAATCACCACAATGGCCAACGTCAATCGCTACGATGGCGGCTCTTCAGAGTCGCCAGAGCCAAAGGACTATCCCAAGACCGAATCCGCTGAGCAAGTCCGTATCGGCGACATCTCTGATCTGGATGATGATTCCGGACATCACTTACATCGTGGTTTGCACGCAAGACAGATTACCATGATTGCAATTGGTGGAGCGATTGGTACAGGATTGATTATTGGAACGTAAGTTGTGATCATTGAAATCTCGGTGAGCCCAGAGAATTCAGCTGACCCGTCATACAGCGGAAAAGCTTTGGCTCAAGCCGGTCCTGCTCCATTAGTCATTGGATACGCGCTGGTTGGATTTTTATGTTTCTTGGTCATGGCCGCTCTGGGAGAGGTATGTTGAATTCCCACACTCGTTTTTCCGAATGTTTGCCTACTGGGGAAAATACAATGCTGACATCTAGGAAATAGATGGCCTGTTGGCTTCCTATGCCTTCTGGATTTACTGGTTACGCTACTAGATTTGTCGATCCCGCTCTTGGTTTCTGCTTGGGTTGGAATTACTGGTTCAAGGTATGTTTGCATTTGCTTCTATTCGATGAAACAAGGCTGACACCATTGTAGTACATTGTCGTCACACCGAACAATCTGACTGCTGCCTCGCTCGTCATTCAATATTGGGTCAAGAGAGAAAAGGTCAATCCTGGTGTTTTCATCGCTGTCTTTTTGGTTGCCATCGTGGCTGTCAACTACTTTGGTGTCAAGTTCTTTGGGGAATTCGAATTCTACCTATCCAGTATTAAGGTTGTCGTCATTATTGGCTTGATTCTATTGAGTTTGGTTCTTGCATGTGGAGGTGGCCCCAATGGAGATGCCACCGGTTTCACATACTGGGGAAATCCTGGAGCATTCGCTCCGTACATTTTGAGTAAGTCAAGTTATCTGTTTGCGGATGAACAATTACTAACAAAATACAGAGGGCGCTGCTGGTAGATTCTTGGCCGTCTGGTCCACCTTCACCACCGCCGTCTTCGCTTACTTGGGAACCGAGTTGGTTGGTGTAACCGTTGGAGAGGCTGCCAACCCAAGAAAGGTCATCCCCCGCGCTATTAAGCTCACCTTCTACCGAATCCTTCTCTTCTACGTCGTCTTGGTATTCCTCCTCGGAATGCTCGTCCCATACAACTCCCCAGATTTGATTGAGGCCAACAAGTCTTCCAACTCCGCCACGGCCTCCCCATTCGTTGTTGCCATCAAGCTCTCCGGCATCAAGGCATTGCCAGGTATTTTGAACGCCTGTATCTTGATCTTCGTCTTTTCCGCTGCCAACTCCGATTTGTACATTGCCTCCCGAACTCTCTATGGTCTTGCCCATGAGAAGAAAGCCCCCAAGATCTTCACCAAGACTGACAACCGTGGTGTCCCAATCGTTGCCCTTGGTGCTTCCACAGCTTTCTGCCTCCTTGCTTTCTTGGGTGTCAACACCGAATCATACACCGTCTTCGGTTACTTTGTCAACCTCGTCACCATGTTCGGTCTCCTCACCTGGATCTCACTCCTCGTCTCTCACATCTGCTTCGTCCGAGCCCGTAAAGCCCAAGGCATCCCCGACTCCGCACTCGCCTACGTTGCACCACTAGGAGCCGCCGGTTCATGGGGAGCCCTCATCTTCTCCTGCCTCATCGCCTTCTTCAAGGGATTTCCCATCTTCTGCTACAAGCTCACTGCGCCCAAGGGTACGGTTCCCGTCTTTGACTGGCGAACTTTCCTCACGACTTACCTCGGTATTCCATTGTACATCGCCATGATCCTCGGATACAAGTTCTACATGAAGACCGAGATGGTCACGCCCGAGAACGCGGATCTGTACAGCGGCAAGGCGCGCATCGACGCCGAAGAGGCCGAGTACGTGGCCCAGGAAGCGGCGAAACATGGTGGTCCTGAAACCAAGGGACAGAAGCTTTACCGATTGACTCTTGGTTGGTTGTTTTAAACGATTTCTTTGTTTGTTTCCTTCTTTCATATGGTAATGGGGCATGTATGCATGAACTTGGATGGGATGGAAGAAGAGGTTCTTCTGTATGTATATAAGACGCGGCTACGTCCTCATTTATTTTACTAAGGAAAGTAAAATATGCGGGCTAGTCAGCTGGATGGATGGGTTTCTATGTATGAGATGGGTATTTCATTGTGGAATGGTGGGAATAATGAGAAATTAAAAGCATATTACTTGAACATACCATCTATACCATGTCGTTCGTGAATACCCAACTTTGTGAAAATAAATGATAGATTAAAACTATAGATTACTTTTAAGACAGCTTCTGCAAGAGTAGTACGACTCTGAGTCTCTGATACCCAGAGGAATGACTTGGCTGGAAACCTCCCAGCCACCGTCCTCCCAGCCGTCTTGCATTGGGAAAGACATCAGGCCATGTCCTCGGCTCGGGTATCAGCGTACCGCACGCTGAACACGTCTCATTGGAATGATCCAAGTCTCTTCTGATTCCGAGACAATTTTCACGTGGGGAATTGATTTTGATTTGGAGACAGTTCAGACCCCCTTTTTTTTCGTCACTCCCTTAGGACAGTGTATGCATATCACTTACTTGACCTCCAGAAGTACAAGGTGCGTGGGAAGACAATTGATTTACCCATTAATAGTTTGTGTTTTGTTTTTGCTATTACTATATCTACTTGTACAAGTAGTCTATATCCGAAGCTCTGATCTTCACGATGTTCCCTACCTAGTTGTCTACAGGAAAACGGCGGGGAGGGGAGTAAGTAGAGAATGTATATATACTATTATCCTCTTTTTCGCGTCTTTTGTTTGAGGCTTATCGCATATGCTGCGGATACTAGGATAGCTCCGACACCTATTCTAATCGAGCCCGTTCTTGCCAGTCTAGAAGATGGGACTGGCGTTGCTGTATAGACACGCACGTCTATACACATTGTAATATCACAGCTTGAATGAGGACGTCGAAGTAATTTCCATACTCATGATCGTAACCGCCTTCCTTTTAAAGGTTGTGTTTTACCTTTTGGTCAAATGAGTTTACAGGGCGCAAGTAGTACTGTTATTACAAACCTTATGAGTGCAATTCCATGGATCGGACAAGATATAGTCGAGTGGCTTAAGTCAATTATTACTTGAACAGTGATGTTGTTTAGTAAATTCTGCTTAATGCTGGAATATCCTCAATAGTATTAGAATTTAGCATACGTGTGTATTATTAATACATATGTGAAAAAGCCTGAATCAAGGGGGCAATCAGCAGGGTTGGAGAGTTTTCAACTTGTAAAGCGATACGATACTTATCTCGGAGGGACAAGAATAAAAGGTATATGTGAGATGAGTTCAACTTGTGGGACTACGGCTATAACAGTAAGACGACTGCTGGTAGTTCAGAGTTTCGGGGGGCATCACTTTGTTGCCGTACTTTTGTACTGGAGGTAGTTGTTTTATAGGGATTGGATGGAAGGTAGTAATGCGTGTGGTTTTAGAACCATATACTCTATTTATTGAAGACAGGCTATGCTAATGTGACCGTTGAAGATTATAGGTTGTCCCTTTGAATTTGTCACTCCTTAGGTATAGTAATTTACGTCGGTTGTCGGGAAATATTAAATAGATTGCTTTAGATATTTAAGATAGCTTGGAATCTTTTTGAAGATATCGGATAATATATAATAAGTGTTTAGTAAGTAGTCTTTTTAGTCCAACGGGTCCTGGGTTTCTAAATTATAGCTTAAATATATTACTAATTCTAGTCTTCTAAGAACCTATCTAGTTAAATCTATAACAAATGAATCTTTCTATATAACAAAGTTATCTTATTTTTAAACAGGAATTTGATTTTGCCAGCTAGCTTGAGATTAACCTAAGATCACTTCGTCTTAAAATTTGGGTGTTTCATTTAGTCCACTTAATAATATCTTCTCTAGGCTCCCAGTGGATAAGAAAAGTAGTAGAGACCTCTTTCATCTCATCCTTACAAGTACTTAACTAAAAAACATTATATTATATTACTTATTTGGAACAATAAAAGTGATTTATCTAAAACGATAGCAGAATAAACGCAATTGTTCTTGATATTTAAAACATTTTAGTACTTTGAATTAACTTACGCTGTTGGTTAAAAAATGAATATCTACTACTTTTCTTGTCCACCAGGAGGAGCCTGGGTAAGTCTGGGGCCAGAACGACAAGGCAGATATCACTTTTATCATCGAAACTGGCCAGAGGCCTCGACATTCTGGGTTTGTGCTGGTGGAAGCTGATATTCGATTCTTATGGTTCTACCTTTCGAAATAAGCCCACTTCTCTTGCATTCTGGGGCGGGGCGAGTCCGATTGTGACCCACTTTACTTACTGTAGCCCTGACTACTAGCCACAACTACTTGAAACGTACTACAAAAATCATAATACAACTTCATCCAAGGATAATATAAAGCCTCTTATAACGCCTTCAAATATTTTAGGTATCCGTAGGTTAGGGAGATTATGGTTACGGCCAGTGACAGGGTTCGGATAGTAGAACATTCTTTCTGTTCCACTGCGTTGTGGCTGTGCGTCCAGCGTTTTAACGAGAACCAAATAATCGATCCCGATTGAAGATTCATTCCAACCCAAGATTTGGCAGCCATGGCAGCCATGGCTGATCGAGCCCAGCAGCCATCCATACATTTACTTCGAATGTAGCTTCTGGTTCAAGAATGCTGATGGTTTTGTTTGGGTTTTTGGCAAAGTTCACAAGTTCGCGAAATGTCTCAAACCGGCTTGTTCTTCCATCCCAATCGACCTTTTTGCCACAAATCGCGTTTTCACAATGAAGAATAAAAGCAGCGCACTACAATCTATAATTGAGAAAGCCCGGTTCAAAATATAGATCAAGGAAAGTCGGAAAAGAGTTTGAGAAGCTGGTCAGAGTACTGGAACTTTCTTGCAAAGCGAGACGAATGTGCTTTATATGTTGTTTTTTCTTTTATTAAAAGAGCCGCAGCGAAGATCGTAAACTCTTCTGTTGGACATAAACAGTAGCAATGAGTATTTCTTCCATTATGTTTTGAATTGGGGGCGTTTAAACGTTTTATCCATTTCTGCTATTCAAAACCATTAAGCAAAATTCCTATGATAATCAAAGAACTGATTTCAAAAGACTTGGATTAGATGGTTGTTAATTAGATGGTTCGACTACCCGCCATTTTTTGTTACTGGGAATTACGGGAGGATCCGAAGTCTGCGCATTCCTCACGCATTTTTGGAATCCCATTCACCTTTAGTATTTAAATAGCACGGCTAGTCCACATCTTTTTGCTCGGGTTCACCACTTTCTCTACCTTTCTTCTCCTTTTGGATTTTTGCCAGAATGCAGCCCACTCTCTTTTATGCGGCGGCCCTTTTGAGCTCATCTTATCTCGCCAGTGCCTCTCCAAAAGAAGCAACTGTTTACGCGTTTGCGTCAGAAGCATGCATTACTGATACCTTTACACCCGTTCCCCAAAATGTCGACTCTGCAGCCTTGGTAGCAAAACACGGCTTTTCTGATAGTGGTATGACCCTCGAAAGATGTGCGGATTTCTGCATACTATATACCGTTATGGGCGTGAAGAATGGTAGGGAAGTAAGGAAAATCCATTTCACCCAGGAGGATATCATTACTGATTGTTTTCAAGTGTCATAGTGGTAATTCGATCAGAGCGGGCACGATATCAACCCTAGCCAATTGCGGTATCCCTTGCTCCGGGAACTCGGGTCAACTGTGCCGTGGTAACAGATTCATGAATACCTACCAACTTGCTGGATTTGCGGGGCCAGCAGGTAATTTCAACGTTTGAACTTTCGGTTGGTCATAGCTAATGATCAAACAGGGCCGAAAGGAATTGGTACGTGGAGTTTTACACCAGACGGATGTTGGTTGTTAGGGAACCCAAAATAGTAGAAAAAATACCTCGTCGTATTATTTCTTCATATATTCCTCCGATCGGTGTTATTGACGGATGGAGGAACCGTCAATGATTCTAGATCTTGCCAAACAACTGAACTTCTCCTGAGCTATTTGTCACAAGTCAAGCAATAATTCCCCTCTTCTCAGCCAAGTTTTGACTGTTCGTTTTAGATGGCGCGCCAGGACTCCAAGGTATACAGGGTATACAGGGCTTAAGGGCTTCACAGGGTCTTCCGGGTTTCGATGGGCTCGATGGAGCAGTCGGTGAGTGTGTCTTGTTCCGTCAACAGAAAAGTCTTGCTAACTTGTTTTAGGGCCATTTGGACCATCTGTAGGTGCTTCCGCGTTATTTTCAAAGATCGAAAGAACTTTCGTATTGAACGGAATTGTGTTCGATATAACGAAGATAAATTCACTTTGTGGGGCGGTTGCATACTATTTGGGTTACATCCCATAGGAACAATTAAGCGAGACGTCCTTGCGTCATCCACTTGTACTGAATGCATCCGCCCCACGAATGTACTGACTGAGTGCGAACGGTTTTGGAAACAATTTTTTATTGAACTCATTTTTTCAGTCTTTTAATGCAATCAACTTTTCAAAAATCAAACCCCCAGAAGGCTTCGGTTGATTGGTTTGATCAGCCGAATGGTCTGGCATGATCGGTTGTTAGAATCATTGATTGGCCCGAAAAACTACGACAATCAAGTTGATTGACCAAAATCTTTAGCACAATTACCCCTTTTAATCCTTGCTTGTTCTACGCAATCAACACAGTCGAAAAACGAACGGATTCGCAAAAAGGTAGATTCATTCTAGAACCATGCTAACGTTCAGTTGTTAGGGACCAATTGTAGGTAGCATTCGTGAGATGGATAATACTAGACCAACTAATCTTTTCAACAGGGCCCCACAGGTACTGCAGGTAGGATATACACATCCATTTGGTTAGAGATTATTTGCTAACTATTTATCAGGCCCCTCGGTGAGTTTCTACCTTCTATATGAGAACTTCGGAAACTCGCTAAAGGTTTAAGGGACCATCTGGACCCAAAGGAGATCAAGGAAATCCAGGTCCAACTGGAAGCGTTGGCCCTGTCGGACCATCGGTGAGTTTTCCCCTCCCCATCTGCTTGAAATCTCGCTTCACTTACTACCTAATTTCCTTGGGACCTCGCTAAATATTGATACAGGGACCCTCTGGAGCATCTGGCGCTAAGGGAGACCAAGGAGATGCAGGTCCTACTGGAAGTGTTGGTCCTATCGGCCCATCCGTGAGTTTCCCCCGCCTGATTTGTTTGGGCTCTCGCTTAACCCACCTACCCAATTTCTTTCAATCTTGCTAACTACTAAAGGGACCCTCCGGAGCATCTGGAGCTAAGGGAGACCAAGGAGATATCGGCCCAACTGGAAGCGTTGGCCCTGTAGGCCCATCTGTGAGTCTTAACCTAACCTGCAGAATTTTGTTTGGGCTCTCGCTTAGCCCACCTACCCAATTTCTTTCAATCTTGCTAACTACTCAAGGGACCATCTGGGGCATCCGGAGCCAAGGGAGATCAAGGAGACGTAGGTCCAACTGGAAGTGTTGGCCCATCTGGTAAGTTAATTTATCCTCTTATCCCTTCCAGATACGAGAGTTACAAAGAAACGTGGTCGCAAAGTGGAGTGAAATATTCACTTTGACAACACTTCTCCGGAAAATGAAATCGTATAGTATAGTAAACCCGGCTATGTTTCTAAGCATCTAAGCCTTAACACCATGCAGTTTTACATCCACTTATATCCACTTTAAGTGCACGTCTTTTTGTAACTCTCGCATCTGGAAGGGATATTTGAATACTTGAGATATTTCTAACTTTAATTAATAGGACCTTCCGGAGTTCAGGGCATTCAAGGAAATCCGGGGCCAACTGGCAGCGTGGGCCCTGTTGGCCCATCTGGTGAGTATGTAGCTATATCTTTATATTTGAAGATATTTGAAATCTTTTCAATATTCGAATATCTGAATATTTGAAACCTCTCTAACTATTAACAGGGCCGTCTGGACCTCAGGGTATTGAAGGTAGTGTAGGTCCAACTGGAAGCGTTGGCCCGTCTGGTGAGCTGATTTTCCTCTTCCTTTTACTATACTTTGTCCGAGGCGAATTAATTGTGGGTTTAATCGGGTGGCTGAGGTTGGCGAGAGGGTTAAATCCCCTGAAAGATCTACAACCATTTTGCCTGAGACGAAGTATTTATAAATTTAAATCAATCTAAATTTGCTTTATAGGGCCGTCCGGACCTAAGGGAGATCAAGGAGAACCAGGGCCAACTGGAAGCGTTGGCCCCACAGGTTGGTAATCTATATATGAATTAATTCCACAAAAGCTAACTTAGGTTTAGGTCCCGCTGTAAGTTTCAAAGCTCTGAATGTCATTAATCTAGTCATACTCACTTTATCAAGGGACCAACAGGTGCGTTGAAGGTTATCTATACAGACTGCTTTCCACAAGACTAACTGTCTTCTAGGACCACAAGGAGACAAAGGCGAACAAGGTGACAGGTAAGTTGCGTAGCGTTTCACGAGTTTAGTTGTTGAATTTTCAACACATGATTTGCCCCGCAGATCTAATCAAAACTAGGGGAGCGGATGGATCAGCCTGTAAGCACCTTGACTGTTGATATTCTTGATGAATGCTGATTTAAGCTTAGACGTCGTCACCGCACCGACCGCAACTGCGACGCCTCCCCCTGTGCAACCCCAAGACGACCCAGTATGTAGCCTGAATTATCCAGTGTATTTTCTCAAATAAACTTGTATAGGGATACGGTACCCAAACATGCAATCAACCCGGGCATGACATGGGCTTCGAAGTGACACCAGACCATCCAACCTTGATTCCATGGACTTTCACCTCACCCGCAGATACTGGTGTCCAGTATAACTTCTCAGTGCCAAGTGTGACGGACGGCTCTGACTCGACTCCATTTTCCGGGCAACAAACTGCTCGTATCAGGTTCACGGGTACAGGCACACTTGCCGATTTTCACCAAGATAATATCATTCTTTGTGAGGATTCTGACTATACATTTACCGCGGTAAGTAGCAAGATGCTAGAAATACCAACAGAGCTGACTTTTATCAAGAGTATCAAAAGGGGATCGAAATTTGCAAAATCGGATTGCCACATTGATTGGAGCATTGGCGGTGGTCCCAACGATGACACTTTCCGATCCCTAGGTAGAACAACGCTTGACGCTACACAAGGTACCTGGCAAACGCATACTGGCTTCGTTGAAAATTCTGGAAGCACAGTGAGATCCTGGACTCTGAATGCACAATTTCCTTGCGACAGTCTTACAGAAACACCCTTCGGATCTCTATACTTTGACAATTTCTCTATCACCAAAGGTTCTTCTACATCAACAAGTCCACCAACCACCTTACAGACAACTACGTCCTCGTCGTCCTCGAGCTCCTCGTAGGTATACTTGACTTTTTTGAATATTTAGATAGCTAACTACCATGGAACAGATCCTCATCTTCGTCGAGCTCTTCGTAAGTATAATTAAGTAACTTATTTACATGAAAAGAAAACTAACTACCCGGTAATAGATCAAAGACCTCTTCTGCTTCTACTACTCCTACTGCATGTCCAGTTGCCGTTTCCGGTCAGACATGCGCCAGGAAGGCTTTTGGAGGATCCGGTAACCCTGTTGCCTATGACGACTTCACTGACTATTCCGGAACCAATCCTGTTACTCCTCAAGCTTGCCACACAAAGTGCTTACTGGATTCGAGATGCAAAAGTTTCCAAGTTGGGGAGGGTACAGGCACGGAAGGTGCATGCTTCTTATATGATACTCTTACCTCAATCGTCGCCGCCAATGAGAATTCCCCATACACGTTCTACGACGTAGGATATCCAAACTATAGTCCCGTATGTTACACCCACACTGTCTCTCATTTTATTTTAGTTCTCTAACATAAATTCTAGACTGGGTGTCCGGGCGGTACACGAAAAGTCAGACGAAATGTCGTCGAGCGCGCCTTTTAAGTTTTCGTATACGAGAAATAACCTATCTGACGTCCAATACGCATTTAGGACGCCCGTTTTCGCGAGCATAATTGGGTTGCTTTCATCAAGTTGTTTCTACGGTCTTGGTCTCTTTTGTTTTTGCTGGAGGGTAGCGCTATATTTCAGTCTAGCCGAGTAGATCACGTGGGTCGCTGCTTTACCATGTTCAAGTACTTTGAGGTACTTGAGCACTTCCACTCTTTTGGTTAGAATTATATCTTAATTATCATACTTCATTTCGTTCCATTATTTTCACTCTCTAGGCTATGATTGGGATATTATAGCTTAATCATTAGCACTTGCAAGAGAAGCTTAACTTGCATTTTTGCCTAAAATCTTGAAAGGGGTAATATTAACGATTTGAAAGAGGTTGGGATTAGGATATATATTATATTATAGCGGGAAATAAATTCTGTTATAGTAAGCGTCTGCCTCCTTCCCCTTTCGAAGCAATTAATGTTCATTAGAGTAGATCCTTTTACCTAGTAGTTAATTATTCTTAGGTTCTCGCTTAATTATGTTAGTTTATCCACGTGCTTAGAACAAAGGGCTTCAACCTAGAATATACCACTAGGAGCGCTATATATTTGTTACGGAACGTACTAGAGTTTACCCCTTTGTTTACTTAGTATATGACTCCTATATTAGGCGAGATAGCCTATATACTAACGTGGTTTATCAGCGAGTCGATCATATCACCGAGTCGATCACTTTTCCTTGGCACTACCTCCTCAAACTTCAACACACGTTTTCTTCAACTATTTACCATGGAAATTCAAACTCAAGAAGCGCGAATTACTCTAGCTATCGAGGCTATTCGGTCGTCCAAAAAACTAAGCAAACGCTCTGCGGCAAAGATCTACAATGTACCATATACGACTCTTTCCGACAGAATGGCTGGCCGAACCTACCGCCCAGATTCTCAAGCCAATTGTCATAAGTTGACTGAGTTAGAAGAGGAAGTGATTATTCGGTATATACTGGATATGGATTCCAGAGGATTTGCGCCCCGGCTCGCTGGTGTAGAAGATATGGCTAATTTTATCCTTGAATCGCGGGGGGGAAGACGCGTCGGCAAGCTCTGGGCCCATCGATTCGTACAACGACAACCAGACCTTAAGACGCGTTTTAATCGCGTTTACGACTTCCAGAGGGCCTTATGCGAAGATCCTGACGTGCTAGGCGCATGGTTCCGGCTAGTAGAGAATATGAGGGCGAAATATGGGGTTACAGACTCCGACTTCTACAACTTCGACGAGACAGGCTTTATGATGGGTGTTATTTGTCCTAGAATGGTTGTTACTCGTGCTACTCGTGCAGACCGACGTGGTAGAGGCAAGGCAGTTCAGCCAGGCAATCGGGAATGGGCTACAGCAATTGCCTGTATTAATGGGGAGGGCTGGAGTATTCCTCCATTCTTGGTAGTTCAGGGCAAGAACCATCTCTCCAACTGGTATACCGACGGCGGCCTCCCACCTAACTGGGTTATGAAACCGACAAGCAATGGTTGGACAAATAATGAAACAGGCCTGGAATGGTTAAAGCACTTTGATAAACACACTACAGCTCGTGCAAAGGGTCTGTATCGAATACTAGTTTTGGATGGGCACGAGAGTCATGAATCGGCTGAGTTCCAAGACTACTGTACGAAACACAACATTATTACTCTTGGACTACCTCCTCATTCATCCCATCTAACCCAGCCACTTGATGTTGGGTGCTATAGTGTGTTAAAACGAGCGTATGGTCGGCAGATTGAGACGTTTATCAAGGCCCATATCAACCATATTACAAAGGTTGAGTTCTTTCTAGCCTTTACAGCAGCATACAAGGAAACAATGACAGTCCTAAACTGTCAGTCTGGATTCCGCGGAGCTGGCCTAGTACCATTTAACCCGCAAGCAGTGCTTTCAAAGCTTGACGTAAGGTTACGGACTCCAACTCCCCCTCGGACGTGTAGTGCCAACTCCCTCCCCTGGGTGTCCCAGACCCCTTCCAACCCAACTGAAGCCCTTTCACAATCAACTCTTGTACGAAATCGTATAGCCTGTCATCAAGGAAGCTCGCCAACTCCACTTTTTCAAACAGTTGCTGCGTTAGCAAAGGGTACAGAGCGAATGGCACATGAGATGACCCTTTTGTCTGCTGAGGTCCGTACCCTTCGCGCTGCAAATGAAGCCCTAAGTAAACGCCGTAGGGCTAAAAAGACTCGTGTCCGCCAAGGAGGGGCACTTATAGTAGAGGATGTACAGGATATGTTAGCTCAGGAGGATGTAGATGAGCAAGTACGACGCGACATGCGTGAGGCGGGGGTTGGTTATAAGGAGGGGCAACCTTCTAGGCGGCGCTGTAGAACTTGTGGAAAAGCTGGTCATAACGCGCGAACTTGTCAAGAAGTTATAGATATATCTAGTTCGTCAGATATAGAGAGCGATAATTAATTTAATATATTGTGGTTGATTTATTTAGGTGTAAAGTTCTGTGCCAAGAAAAAGTGATCGACTCGCTGATAAACCACGTTATATAGTTCTAGAAGAGTTAAGGCTAGTCTTATATAAGTTACACTAGTCTTAGATAGGAAGGTTCTATATAGTATAGGAGAGCTCCTATATTAGGGTACTACTTTACCATAGCTAGCTACTTTTAAATTATCTACTTTTATAGCTTATTCTAATAGTCTCCTATTTTATTCTTAATAATTAGTAGTACTACTTCGGAACCTAAGTACGTCTTATTTCTTAAACGAAATCTAGTTATTATTACCTAGCTCTAGTGTTAGGTACTAGAGAATCTCTCTTTAAACTTTTAATAGCTTCTACTTTAGTTATAAGTAAGACTCTCTAATAGGTTATCTCTAGGTTAACCTAGGTATTAATAGTATAAAAGGAGTTAAAAATAGCGCTTAATCTTCTTTACCTTTATATATATATTTATTAAGATATTAATAGTAAAGTATTAGTAGCTCTAAATAACTATCTTAATAATTATCTACCTTATCTTACCTTTTAAGATACTATCTTTAATTACTATATTAACTGTGACGATTTTGATTTGTGTATAGTGAATGTGGTTTTAGTCACGTGAGCCACGAGGCGACGAGCTCAACTTCAAATAGCTTCAGGTCCTGGGACCTCTTTCGCTCCTCGTAGTCAATTTAATCTATCAACCTGTACTGTCCTAGACGTGCATTCTCACATATTGACTACCAACAACACACTACGAACCCCTGAACCTCCACGACTCACGAACCTCCAGTGCGCTCAGCGGGCTCTCAGATACCTATCGAAATCCTCACGACCCCCCAACATAATGAACCTCGACGAGAAGATCTTCCCACTTC